GGAGGAACCGTGCCGCGGATTTGCCGCGGATGGGAGGGGTACGTTGCAGAGGGCACAGGAAGGGGGGAGATGAGGGTTGGCAATATATAAGCATATTTTTCGGTGTGGAGTTCGAGACACGGGAAAGGGATATGGGTGGATGTGAAAGAGGGGTAGGTGCGGATTTCGTGTGCAGGGATACGATGCAGGAGGAGTGAGTACATTGAATGGTGGCGTGGGTCCTTTGGCAGTTGCTTAAGCCAAGTGAGGGAGATAGGAAGGGCGGTAGATGGAAAGGAGGGAAGCAAGAAAAAAAATAAAAACAAGAACGAAAGCAAAAGCAAAAAAAGCAAGTGAAAAACCGCCATCAGTAGGGGACTTCCTCATTTATAAAGCTGGTGCGTAGGTAAAGCTGACAGGGAATAGAGTGAAGTCGAAGTTTAGGTAAAGCTGAAGGCTCTCAGCTTTGCCTAAGCATTAGATTTGTAAATACGGAAGCCCTCTGCTGTAGAGAAGTCCTCTACTTTCAACAAGTGAAAATCCCGTTATTAGCAAAGAACTTCCCCGTTTATGAAGCTGATGCTTAGGTAGAGCTGAGAGCTCTCAGCCTTACCTATGCATCAGCTTCATAAACAGCTTCATAAACTTGTTCCTCTTCTCTATCCTGTCCCCAAACACTGCCTGCAGAGTCAACCACTATCACCACTGCTCGTCTGCTCGTTAAGCTTTCATTTTCCTTTCATCTATCTCGCCTTAATCCGTACCCCCTGAGCTGTATCCGGGTACTTACCAACCAACTCCCCCACCATCCACATGCAACCCCTCCAAAGCATGCGGTCTAATAGCCGAACACCAGATATCGCTACACAGCACACCTGGCAGACTGCCAAGCAGCGTCGACGAGTCTGGCCGCGAAATAGCGTTAGCGGAGATGCAGAGTAACAGCCGAGCCGAGACGTGTTTTAGTAACTGCCCATACTTACGTTTGGTGTACTGGAAATGTCGCAATGACATCACTAACATGGGACATTTTCATCGATAGTCCAGGTGGTCTTAGTTTTCTGGATATATAAAACTATAACTGCTCGAGCTATCACAATGTGGTTTGGTAATTCTTGGTATATATGCTCATGTAAGTCTCCAGTTTTTAGATTTCGCAACTTTGCCTTTTTCTTTTACGAACTGTCGAATTAATGTAGATTTGGGAAAGAACTGCAGTAGACCTTTTCTAGTTTCATGGGTCTCCTCAAGACTATTTCAGGCAGCATTATTGGAACATTTATTACTGAAATTATGTCTGGGCATAATGCTGTGGATGAATTTTCGGAAGGCGAAACTGATCAAGAAGGTTTGTTTATTCTGAGTTCATGGTTGTCTTTTATCGGCTTCTCGCGACCAGTAATGCTTGGATAGCCGGTGAGCTGAAAAAAAGAACTGTTGAGTCTCATTTAAGTGCGCGGTACCATGGAAGTTTAGTTGATCACTGTAGTAAACTTGGATGTCTACAGCCTGAGCTAAAAAATCTGTTTCTATTTTTAAATGCGTCTGCGCACGCGAACAGGTGTGTTGTTCACACGTTGGTAAACAGAGCCAATCGAAAAATTAGGATGACTGCTTTCATGTCACAAGATAGTGCCCAGTATAAAATAAGCGGAGTGAAAGGCTTTTTTGCGCCTAGTGTAAAACTGTGCAAAAAAAAAAAAAGTATTCCTTTTTCACTTGTTACTAGTCATATCCAAAGATGTGCAGAGATGAAAGAAAAAACTCTATTGTTAAAATCGTTTCGTTGTGATGCGCGATTTCCAAGTAACTAGCATTAAGAACTCTATTGCAAAACCTCTCTCAATTTCGCCAGTGAAATAACGTTTCATTTGTGTTGATATAGTGACAAGCAGCGCTATTCGTATGACACTTCGAGGTTTTCGCTCCGTAAGTAGAACTACGATTCGTTTATTCAATTTCGACAAAAATTTCGGAACGTTGAAGCTGTCGTCAGCTTGATTTTAAAAAATCCACTTGAAGAAGAAGCCGTCAACACCTTTACCAACGGTTGGGTAGCGTTGGTATATGATGCCACTCAAGAAGTATCTTAAGTATCTTAGCGTCCCCACCTTTCGAAGAGTAAACTGTGAGGGGCTGTTTTAATTTTTGGAATTCCCTGCTAAAAAATATCCGAAACAGAAGCAGGAGCTCAGTTTGTTTGTATTGCTGCACTTTACTTGAGCTTTGCCAGAGCCACTAGGACATGTGAAAAGTGCACTTGATGACATCTAGGTCGACTGAAGCAAGAGGCGAAACAGCTAGGGCAAATTGAAAAAGTGCGTCTGCTTGTTACTGCGTTCCATTTTCGTCACAATTTGCCTGGATGACACTATAGCTGTCTAACTGAGCCCTCGAGGCACGCTATTTCTTGGCTCTTTTTAACTAATGCGGCAGCTCACATGCAGCTTTTTTCGTATTTTCCATTGCTTCGGCATTTATTTAGTGTTTAGTGGAGCACTCTGCAAAGAAAAACTACCTTTCTAGTGATAACTTTATTCACACAGTTTATTCCCCCCTTCCTTCTTGCCCTCCCCCTATTGTTTCATGCACTGTCGTCCATTCAGTGCTTGCAATGATGACTGCTACTGGTTCTGCGATAACTTCAGGTATTTTATCATCGCTTGAAAATTTGTTGCGGTCTTTTCCACCGTATGTTTTTCTTCCACCCGCTCCAGAGCAGAAGGGTTTCAGTGTTTGAAAATACAGTACCACGGCCCTGTGCTGGGATTGGGAGGAGCAGGGAGGTGGAGGGGAGGTGCCTTTTTTGGTTTTTTTTCTTCCTTTACTGATAAGTGGTGCTGCTAATTGCAGTTCTTCAGTAATTCCAGATATTTTGATGCGTTTTGTGCTGTGTAACAGCAGTACAAAACTCATATTGTAACGGGTTGTCTTTGTGTGTATGTGTGCGTGCGTGTGTGTGTCCGTAGCAAATTGCCCACAACTTTCAACTTGGGTACAAAAGCTAGGAAGCTGAAAATTTTAGGGAATGTTCCCCACGCACGTGTAACGTCGCATATTTAAATTCAGCCCTCCCCCCGCACCCGCGGGTAACACGTACGGCTCCATAAAAGCTTGGGCTCCATAAAAGCGAGATAATAATTTTACTCGGGGACCTCGGAAGTTAGAGGGCTGAATTTATGTAGGCATGTCCCCTGCCCAAATGTGATCCAGAAAATTTAAATTCGGCTTTCCCTTGCCCGCGTGTAACACGAACGGCCCCCGTGAAAATTCTGGTGGGTAAACTATTATCTCGGAAACCACAAAATCTGCGGAGC